AGCCTACAGGTTTGACGACAAGACAGCTAATCATGAGTGCCATTCACCTTCCTGATTATAAAAGGCTTGGCCCTGCGCTCATAGTTCACTGTCCCAGTCCTGCTCCCTACATCCTACTTAATCATTTGCTTTTCAAGTGACTGACTGGCTGCAGGAAATAGCCTGTGGGATCTTAACTAAAGTCATGTTGAGGCTGCACATATTGTTCTGGACTAGCATAAGCTTTCATGAGCTCTGTTTCCTCATCACATTTAATTTAGTTGGCACTGGTGGAATGTGTTAGCAATATGTTTTCAATAGGAATTAAAATATTTACACAGAACTTAATCCTTTACGTGGAATGGATCCATTGTTGCTGAGCTTATAAACTGCAATGTGTTTTGCATGCAGTGTTCTGTTCAATGTCGCTCATAGAGATCTAATGTATATAATAGTTATTGGATGAGCTCATCCTCAGATTCAATTGTCAATCGTTGCTTTGCTCTCCCACCTGATGTTTTTGAACGGCATATGAATTGTTCTTGTCAACCTCACTTAAAGTTTATGTGCCAGGAACATCTCCGGACATATGATTTGCAACAGATCACAAAATATCTGGCCCGTCAATCATCATGTCATTTCTCTTCTCATGTTTCAGAGCTCAGTGATCCTGGGGTTTTCATGGCTGGAGATGTGCTTTCCCTTTATGTCCATAATGAGACTAATATACAGAGAGGTCTCAGTGCACTCGTTTAGAGCAGGGTGTGGAGCTGGAGATGTGTGTAGAACATGCAAAGGTCTCTACAGCGGGTGTGTATGACATCATCATTGGAAAAGGCCTTGTAGAGGGTCTTGGAGGACAAGCTTGCTCAACATTAACCCAATCAATTCCTGTCCATGTAAATTAACCTATACATCCGCTGCTTTTATCAACAGCAGACTCAGGTGATCTCCGGTCCTGTGACACTAAAGCTCTAGTGTCAGGAAGGATACAGTGAGCTGCATATTTGAGCCTAATTTAACACGGTTGAATTGGAGTGAGATCGTGAACAGGGTCATCACCAGAGGCCCTGTTGATGTTTAGAGGATCACTTTGAGTAACAGGAGAGCCTTTGTGTTAGACAAGGGGACCTCAGCACCCTGAGTCATGTGAATTTTCGTTCCTCATTGCAAAACTTTGACTGATCATCATTGTCCCATGTTGCATGACAACAACATGTTAGCATCTCACTGTACAGGTGGAGCTAGCTAGCAATCAGCCATTAACAAAACCATAAAACAGAGTTAATTACACAGAAATGTGTGCCTCTTGATCTTGCGATGGAATTATTGGCTGTATTAGGCGATGAAAACTCCAACATTGTGTGCAAAGCTGTACTTTAAATAGCATTGTTGAGGGGGTGGTTCGTGCTCCCAAATGAGGACCACATGAGAGGACCACACCCCTTATACATTCATCTCATGCTCCATTTCCACTCCTCCCTCCAGCATTGCCTGGCTCGGAGCTCGGAGCTCAGAGCTAAAGTTGAAGAGTTTCACATCCCGAGCCAGCCAATCATCCTGCCCAACCCTTGTTACCATGACCTCAGGGCAGGCCAGCTCCTTTAGTGCACTTGTACTCCCAATCAAGCAGAGCCGAGTGACCTTTGTCCTGGAACAAAACACAACTCATGAGAGTGAGTTTGTGGTGCTATTTAGGGAGAGAGTTAAGTACACACAAAAAACTCAAGAGGAATCATCGAGTCATTCAACTGCATCCTGTCAACACATAACACTGGGCAGGAAAAGTCCTGCTCCCCATGGCTTCCACTGGGTAGGCCTGTGCACATTTTGACTTCTCACAGCGATATTTAAAACTGGATTTTTTTACGTCATCCATAGCACAGAGACAAGCACATCGGGTTGTGTGTAGTAATATAACATTTCCACTTAAAATCCTTTCTGTCAAAAATGGTGTATCAAACACCATGACATTACAAACAAATAAATAGCAGTGCTGTAATTAGCCATGCACATTTCAGTGTAAACTTAACCAAACCATCAAAATAGATTACAAATACAAAATTAGTCATTAAAGTGGTTGTTTCAAAATAAACCAAATATGATACTCAAAAGGTATTTAGGCAAAACTTTATTTGAATTAGTGGTCTTCATAACTCTCCATAATGGCAGTACATGCACTACATGCAGGTCTAATAATTTATGACACATCATAGATCAGAAACTGTCATAGAGGTTCATGGATTATACTTTCTTTAGAAGACGGTACTGTACATCTGTATGCATTTACATAATTGACCTCCATGACAGTTAATTTCCTATGAAGTAATGGTTTACAAATACGCCAAAATGATTATGACAGATGTAGTGACTGTGTAAATGTTACTAGCAGCAACAACTGTATATTTTTCATTCAAACAAAAAATGAACATATAACTTTATACAAAATGTATGCAAAGCAACAACAATGTAGATATGAAGTATACATTTCTGGAAAATTACAAGTGAATACAAAATCTTAAGTTTAGAAACTCGTGTATATTGTTTTTGTGAGTTCATATACACTACCGTTCAAAAGTTTAGGATCACTTAGAAATGTCATTTTTTTTCAAGAAAAGCAATTTTTTTGTCCATTAAAATAACATAAAATTGATCAGAAATACAGTGTAGACATGGTTAATGCTGTAAATGGCTATTGTAGCTGGAAACGGCTGATTTTTAATGGAATATCTACATATGTGTACAGAGGCCCATTATCAGCAACCATCAGTCCTGTGTTCCAATGGCACGTTGTGTTTGCTAATCCAAGTTTATCATTTAAAAAAGCCAATTGATCATTAGAAAACCCTTTTGCAATTATGTTAGCACAGCTGAAAACGGTTGTGCTGATTAAAGAAGCAATAAAACTGGCCTTCTTGAGACTGGTTGAGTTTCTGGAGCATCAGCAATTGTGGGTTCGATTACAGGCTCAAAATGGCCAGAAACAAATAACTTTCTTCTGAAACTCCTCAGTCTATTCTTGTTCTGAGAAATGAAGGCTATTCCATGCGAGAAATTGCCAAGAAACTGAAGATCTCGTACAACGCTGTGTACTACTCCCTTCACAGAGAAACAGCTTGAGAAACAGACGCCTCGCAGGTCCTCAACTGGCAGCTTCATTAAATAGTACCTGCAAAACACCAGTCTCAACGTCAACAGTGAAGAGGTGACTCCGGGATGCTGACCTTCTAGGCAGAGTTGCAAAGAAAAAGCCATATCTCAGACTACCCATCTTAATCTTTTCTTTTTATTGGCCAGTCTGAGATATGGCTTTTTCTTTGCAACTCTGCCTAGAAGGTCAGCATCCCGGAGTCGCCTCTTCACTGTTGACGTTGAGACTGGTGTTTTGCGGGTACTATTTAATGAAGCTGCCAGTTGAGGACCTGTCAGAAGTCTGTTTCTCAAACTAGACACTCTAATGTATTTGTCCTCTTGCTCAGTTGTGCACCAGGGCCTCCCACTCCTCTTTCTATTCTGGTTAGAGCCTGTTTGCGCTGTTCTGTGAAGGGAGTAGTACACAACGTTGTACGAGATCCTCAGGTTCTTGGCAATTTCTCGCATGGAATAGCCTTCATTTCTCAGAACAAGAAAAGACTGAGGAGTTTCAGAAGAAAGTTATTTGTTTCTGGACATTTTGAGCCTGTAATCGAACCCACAATTGCTGATGCTCTAGATACTCAACTAGTCTGTATGACTAGTTAAAAAAATATATACATATATATGCACTCACTATCTGTAAGTCGCTCTGGATAAGAGCGTCTGCTAAATAACTAAAATGTAAATGTAAAATGTAGTCTCAAGAAGGCCAGTTTTATTGCTTCTTTAATCAGCACAACAGTTTTCAGCTGTGCTAACATAATTGCAAAAGGGTTTTCTAATGATCAATTAGCCTTTAAAATGATAATCTTGGATTAGCAAACACAACGTGCCATTGGAACACAGGACTGATGGTTGCTGATAATGGGCCTCTGTACGCCTATGTAGATATTCCATTAAAAATCAGCTGTTTCCAGCTACAATAGCCATTTACAACATTAACAATGTCTACATTATATTTCTGATCAATTTGATGTTATTTTAATGGACAAAAAAATTGCTTTTCTTTCAAAAACAAGGACATTTCTAAGTGACCCCAAACTTTTGAACGGTAGTGTATAGTCAAAGCATCCCTCATCCTCACTAAAATAAACCATTTCAACAGTTAACACTACAGTACCCAGCAACATTTATACAAGTAAAAAAACGAACATCATCAATAGGCCTGAAATGACAATTACAGATGATCATAGTGCTAGGTGATAGGATGGAGTTTGATGGGCCCTAAAAATCTAATAGGTGGAATAAATGAGCAGTTCGTGATTTACAATAGCATCCCAATATAGAGTCCACATTGACCTGGAACCTTGTTGTGTATGGGACGCATGGTATGCTGTCAAGTGTATTGGTTAGTATGCATTGAAAGAGGAATGCTGGCTGTTGAATCCAATATGGGCGCTACTGGACTGTCCATAGATCCGGTAAAGAGGTCAATGGAACTCGACCAAAACAAAATGCCATGGAAACGCATGGGGGAAAGATCCCGAATCTCCTCACTGCCCCCCAGCAAAATTACCCTACATTTAGGTTATTGTTTATATGTGTATTTCACACTATGTTGAGGTAAAAATCTGAGTATAATGCTTGTATGGATGTCAAGCCCAATACATGTTCATGTTATCATGACCAATCAACTGCATTACAGTTAAAAATGACATTGACTACCACCAACGATTTCTCTATGCTAGCTATGCTACCAGCTTATATGAAAGGGAGTTAGCATTTAGCAGTCACTTCTTCTAAACCTGAACAGGGACTATTTCTAAATGTTATGCAGCAAAAACAGCCCAAAATATACAAATCGGACATTAGTAACCACATTGTGGGCCTGTTACAATACATCAATCATAATGGATTTGACGAATATCCACTTCGTTAGATCAGATTTGTTGAATGTGCGCCAATCCGGCGTCCTTCTTTTATCCCCCATGGTCTACGTTCCTTTGACCTCTTTACCGCATCTATTACTGAGCATCTCTCTTATCTCTAAGGGGATGGTGACCTTGTCATGATCCTGATGGCCTATACTTTACCTGAGCGCAAAACACCTGTGCTCATTGGTCAACAAAATGTATGTTATATGTGACCTGGTGTCCATTGTCCCAGGCGTACAGGACCTTCTCCTTGGGATTGTAGTCGATCTGGGTGGTGTAGGCATATTCGTTGGTAAAGGGCAGATGAGGGATAGCCTCTGAGTTGGTGTGGGTGTCGTAGGCATAGTTCACCTCCCCTTCCTTCTGGTTATAGACGTCCACAGCGTACAGCACCCCACAGATGATGAAGCAGTTCCCGTAAGTCTTCCTCTTCAGGCCCGTCCTCCAGGTGGTCTCCTTCTTCATGGACAGATCCCCAGGGTCCAGCTTACTGATGACAATCACCTCCTGCTGAGAGTAGTCATAGTCCGTGGCAGGGTAGATCACCCACAGCCCACTCTCATCCACGGCAAAGTCAATGTCCGAGTGGCCTCTCCACTTCCAGGGGGTGGTGTCCTCGTAAACCACGTCATGCAGGAGGGTCCAGGCGGCCACGTAACGCATCCTTAGGTCGTACTTAATGATGTTTTTGGTGAAAGCTCTGTTGTAGTAAAACGCTCCATTGTACACCACATGACCCGTGCCGATCCAGTTGTAAGGCAGTTTGAAGAGGTTGCTCCAACGACCTAACAGGACCAAATATAGAAATGTTTAGTGAGCGCTAACTGCATACCATGTTGCCCCCCAGACATTATGCTAACATCATGTAAAATTAAGTATAAATCAAGTCATTCTGGGTTTCACAGGTGTTACACACGCAAACGTTTTAATAGTTCCATAAAAGTTTATACAATTGTGTCACATGAGAGACTGGTTCCTTTATCTTACTGTCACACTCCCTGCTGTCCAAACATATGTATTGTTATTAGGGTTACACTCATATCTGATCACATCTGCGCTCTTATATTTCTACCTCAGGAAGTGTGATTTAGATAATGAATGAAGCTGCAGCGAAGGACAAAAACAACCCCGTAGCACAGCACTTTTCCCCCCCGAGGCCAGCCCATGCCTCTAATCCCTCTCAGCTATGGCCAGTTCAAAGGGGAGGCCAGAGCACATGTCAGCCTAGGCAGGGATCACAGCCACTCACAGAGATACCTAGTCATCCGCACACTGCTGTGAACTCACCACCCTACCGGATATCAGAGCAAAATCTCTATACACTTTGCAAGATGTAAGTGAGTTTAAAGAAACATTGTCCAAACACTTCTAAATCAACCAGGCTAGTCCTGTGAGAAAGATAATTTTACACAGTCATTTAAGAGGAGTAATCCTATTTCTCTCTCCAAGTACTAGTGCAAGAAGCGGTGGATTCTTTCCACCCAGCTGTTTTAGGAACTTTATGTGTGAAAAACCTGCCTGTTTGAGTCTCAAGCTACTATAGTGTATACTCACTATATTTCATGGGTCACTGTAGATCAGTGGTCACCAACCTTTTCTTGACTTAAAAAACATAAGCCTATGCAACATTAACCAATAAAAAACAGTTCTGTAGCAATTAAGTTTGTGCAGTAGGCTATAGGCCCAATACATTATCACTGCATATTGGCTACGCTTGAATTGCCCTGCCAATGTTGTTCTTCTCAGACCATTTTGAAATTATATTTCAAAATGTTAGGTATATGATCACACTGGTAATATATAATTTGTTGTATTACTTGTGAGGCACAGCTGACTGAGCATAATCATTTGCTTATTGTTTTACTGGACTGATGGCCTGCATCTGATGGTCAGTCTGAGGGGAGGGAGGGAGCAGCGGTGAGGCTGCCTCCGTATGGAGGGTGTAATGCAATTGCGGAGCCTTCGGAGGCATGCAGAGGCCAAATTGAGCTCCGTACCGCATCGCTGTGCGCCTCCCAAAGCGCAGGAAGTATGAATGTCCTGACTTCTGTAGAGGCCGTATCACCATAAATGCTGCACGGCCAATGCAGATGTCGGATTGACCATGCAGCGCCTTTAAGTCGCACTGCATTACTTCTGCCTCATGCACCAATTCATGTTGTTACTCCTATGACCAGAGAAAGTTACATTTTCATCAATATTAAAAAAGACACACGCCGCAAATAATAACAACTCAAGCTTATCGAAACGCGCTTTTTATGGCTTATAAAATGTTCAACAAGGTTTTGACAGTGCTGAATAACAACTTAAACATGAACTTACTCATAAAAACAGCAGCTCTTTGCTGTATTCGTTGAGTCTCTCTCTAGTCATGGTTTTAAACGTTTTTAAATCTCACATTATCAATTTTGCTGTCCATTCGAGGTTTCTTTTTACAGTCTATGGCGCGAGGAAACTGTGCAGACACGGTGATCTGAGCTATCTGATTGGCCAGCGGTAGCCTATAGGTGCACTTGATTTGCTCTCTGGGCCTGCCGGGTAGGCGTAGTTCTACCTTCAGACACATGAAATGGTTAAAAATGAGAACACTTTGCCTTCCCCGGCGCTAGGGCTGCTGAATCAAGCGCACCTACCGTCAACAGTGCAAAACAAATAAAAAAATAGGTCCGCAAGGCTTTATCATTGGGTTTTTTACAGAACTGTTTGGGCGGCAGGTAGCTTAGTGGTTAAGAGCGTTGTGCCAGTAATTAATCCCCGCGCTGACTAGGTGAAAAATCTGTCGATGTGCCCTTGAGCAAGGCACTTAACCCTATTTGCTCATGTAAGTCGCTCTGGATAAGAGCGTCTGCTAAATGACTAAAATGTAATGTAAATGTGATTTTTGCATGGGAATACTTTGGAACAGATTTCCAAACACCAGCAAATCGCTCCAAGTGATTTTAATTTAGGATATCTGTTCCAAAGTATTCCCACGCAAAATAGAGAGATGTATGTGATCATATACAAATGTAAGCAAGGTTTGAAAATATTATGTTTTAGTCAAATATTATATATTCTTGGTCCAACAATTCAAATAAATACGCAGGCCGCCAGTTGGGGAACCCTGGTCTATAATATATGTATCTCTCTATGCCATACCCACCTTGCTTGAAGTTGTCCAGGTTTCGGAACTCCACCAGGTTGTTGCCATAGTAATAGTTAGTGACGTAGATCTTGGAGTCCTTTGCCAGAGGATCCTTCATCCAGGCTCCCTCATTCCGCCCGTAGCTGTGCTGCTTCTCTGGGAGCTCGATAGAGGCCAAGGTCCCCTCACAGTCCAGGATCTTCCCTGCCAAGTACAGCACAAAACAATCAACACAAAAACTACCAGAAAAACTGGATAAAGAATGGCCTGCATGAGTCTCCAATCATCCAATTTCACAGTCACACATATTCTGGCAGCTAAACGTTACATGCTTATCCGTTACTGAACTGGACAGAGTCATAGCACTGACTGTCAGTATTGCTGTAAATGAGCACATTCAGTTGATATAGGGTGTAGTGTAGTGTACAGTAGGCTTTCGTGTAGGTCAGGCTACCTGCTCTGTGTAAGATTGGCCGGCTGTTGTTGTCTGAGTTGTCCAGGAAGAGCATGATGGTGGGAGCTGGTCTGTCTAGCCTCTCTACTCCTGCTGCACTGGTGGTGGTGGTAGTGGTAGTAGATGGCATTGTGGTACTGGCTGTTGTTGTTGTTGCTGCCATTGTTGTCGTGGTAGTGACAGCAGTTTCTGTGGTAGTTGTCGACTCAGCTGTGGTTCCCTCTATGGTTTCCAGGACGATTTCAGCGCCTCCGTCCTCCGAGTGTGTCTCTTTGACATGTTGGACGGTGTGAGTCTTGGCAGCGTTGTCTGAGGATAAAGGGATGAAGTGTTGGAAAGCAGGCCATAGAATTTAGTTACTCAAACTCAAACTCTGGAGGGGCCTTGTCTTCACTAGCTTTCATTAGAATTAGCTGGCTAAATTAGTCAAATAGAGCCTCAGAGCCACAGGCCCTGTATGAGCTGCTTTTGAGACCTCTGTCAGAGAGACAAACACTGTACAGTACCACAGATTTCCCGGGGCCACATCAAAGGGGAATGCATTAGTTATGCAGCACACAGAGCATGCCAGCTTCCTCTCACTTTCTCTGTCCCCTCCTCTGTAACCAAGTCTGTCCCGCTGTCTCTGCCTCTGTCTGTTTGGATTCAGAATTCCACAGCCCTCACATGACATTTTCTTATCCTTGGCCATAGAGAGAGAATAGCAGAACAGAGGACAGTGCCAGGAGAAGTGGGCCTGGCTGAGGCTGCTCCCCTCTGTTACTCATATTACTGGCAATTTATCAGTCCAACTGAAATCCCAAATTGCCCGCCTGATACAAACTGCCATGAAGGTCATGGGTGTGAGACAACATCCCTCCCTGCAGACTATTTTTGAACAAACCGTTATCAGACAAGCGCAGAAAATTATTTCAGATCCCTCCCATGTAGTATACTCTGAATATCAGCTCTTCCCCTCAGGCAGACGCTATAGAGTCCTCATGTGTAAGCTGAGCAGATATAAGCACTCCTTCATTCCCATGTCCATCAAATACCTAAACAGCAATAAGTAAAGCTGAGCTGTGTTAGTATGCCACTGACAGAATAATGGGAATATGCAAAGTATTATGTATGTGGCTATATAAGAAGTATATGATGATAAGGGCAATGTGTTATGTTGAGTGTGTAATGTACAGTTCTATTTTGTATACAGCAGTACTGTTGTGTCTAAGACAATTTTCCCCTTGGGACATTAAAGTTAATCCTATCCTAGCCTAGCCTACTCTCACTTCCTGTGCTGCTAGACATGTGTGATATAAAACGCCTCTCCCTGCTACATACGCAGCGCATCTGCATGACACTTGCACTCTGAGCCTCAGGGTGCCAGCCGTGCACACTACCTGACCACATGTATCTGTTAAAGGCTTAACAACAAGATAGGGAGTCAGGGAAAACGTTAGGAGTTAGGAGGTAGGCATAGATAGGTGAATGTGCTGTGGGTCTCTAGAGTCAAAAATCACAAGTACTGTATGTGGTGAAAGAAAAGCAGCGTAACTTGTTACTTCAAAAGCCACATTGTCCTTTATCTAATAGATGCAATTTACCTTTGAAAAAAAGGCCCTTCTGTTCTTTGTGAGAGATTATGGAAAGTAAGCTGATTCGCTTCACTGGGTTGACAAGTGTGGCTGTACTCACCAAAGTATGGCTAAACGGCTAGGCACGGCAGAACACATGATCTAACAGCATATGTGCGTCTGAGCCCTGAGCAAACCTAGCATACCTATCCATTCAACTAGAGTTACCCAGCAAACCACAATTGGTTCTGTGAAAGTTCCCAGAACATTCGTTAGGTCGCAGCAAATGTTCTCATAACACAAAAACTGTCCAATGTTTCTTTAGGTTGTAAGAACATTGTGGGCATATAACAAGAGATAGGTTCCAAAAAACACTAAAACGGTCCAGTTATGCTGACATTCAGATAATGTTTGTATCAGGACATTGCACAAAACATTCCTTTGATGTTGCAAGAATGTTAACAGAACAGCCTTTCTGAGTTCTTTATAGGTTCCCAGAACATTTAATTAGGTTGTGGGAATAGTGTGGGTACATTACAAGAGATAGGTTCCCAAAACACAAATTGTGATGAAATTCATTCAATGTTTACGTTAGGTTGCACAAGACATTCCTATAATGTTGTAAGAATGTTGACAGAACACCTGGTCTAAGTTCTTCAAAGATTCCCAGAACATTTTATTAAGTTATGGCAGTTGTTTGGGTTGTTGCAAGAATAATCTTGTGATATTCACATAGGTTGCACAGAACATTCCCACAATGTTGTACAGTGTTCCACAATTTCCAAATAAGTCTGTTTTTATGACGTTCATAGCATATTTGTTTTAGGTTTAACATAATATTCCATTGATGTTCACGCAATATACATTTGACCTTGTCTTGGAGGTTTACTGGATTGGTTGAACAGTGTTTACATAAGACGTGTTGTCTTATGTAAACAAAGTCGGAGCTGCTGGGCAGGTCTATCTCACTGTCTCTGCTATTGTATAGAGAGCAATCACCGCAGCTGTTCACCCTATGTTAGTGGGCAAATTGACATTGTCAAATCAAAACCCAACATTAATTTACCCCGTTGTGACACACAGATGTTACACATCAGACTTTATGACCAAAATGATCCTTTTTACACTTGGTGGTCAATTTTGACACTAGAATAACTGTTTCAGACTTTAATCGATGCCACATAGGCTATTTTCAAAGGGATTTGTTGCTTTTTAAAGGCAGTATATTGTGTGAACATCAATGGAATGTTATGTTAAACCTAAAACAAATATGCTATGAATGTCATAAAAACAAACTTATTTGGAAATTGTGGAACATTTGTGGTGTGGTCCTCTGTAGCTCAACTGGTAGAGCACGGCGCTTGTAACGCCAAGGTAGTGGGTTCGATCCCCGGGACCACCCATACACAAAAATGTATGCACGCATGACTGTAAGTCGCTTTGGATAAAAGCGTCTGCTAAATGGCATATTATTATTATTATTATTAACATTGTGCAACATTGTGGGAATGTTCTATGCAACCTTCGTGAATATCACAAGAATATGCTTGCAACATTAAGGGAATGTCCTGTGCAACCTAACTTAAACATTGTATGAATGTCATCACAACTGAGCATATTTTGTGTTTTGGCAACCTATCTCTTGTAATGTATCCACACTGTTTCCACACCCTAATTAAATGTTATGGGAACCTTTAAAGAACTCAGAAAGGCTGTTCTGATCCCCATTCTTGCAACATCAAAGGAATGTTTTGGTCACCCTGATACAAACATTATCTGAATGTCAACACAACTGGATAGTTTTAGTGTTTTGGGAACCTATCTCTTGTCATATCTCCACAATGTTCCCACAACCTAATGAAACATTATTGGAACCTTTAAAGAACAGAATCAATGTGTTCTAGGAACGTTCTTGCGACATCTGGTGAATGTTTTTTTCACCCTAAAATAAACATTATAGAATCATCTGCACAACTGGACAGTTTTTGTGTTTTGGGAACATATATTTTGTGATGTCTACACAATGTTCCCACCAGATTGTTCCCACAACCTATAATGAAACATTATGGGAACCTTTAAAGAACAGACAAAATGTGTTCTCTGAACTTTCTTGCAACATTAGGTGAATGTTTTATACAAACATTGTATAATCATCAGCATGACTGGACAGTTTTTGTGTTATGAGAACATTTGCCGCAATCTAACCTAACGTAGCAGGCATAAAATAAACATCTGAAACTAGATCCCCTACATATTGGTCTTGACAAGAAGAAAACAACTGTCGGCGGAGATTCTCTTCTGCACTGTTCAACCAATCAAGTAAATGTGGAGGTGGAGGTAGCCCTTTCCTGCAGTCAAATGACCTAGTGGCCTCATAGGTGGAATGTTTTTAATATACAGTTGAAGTCGGAAGTTTACATACACTTAGGTTGGAGTCATTAAAACTAGTTTTTCAACCACTCCACACATTTCTTGTTAACAAACTATAGTTTTGGCAAGTCGGTTAGGAAATCTACTTTGTGCATGACACAAGTAATTTTTCCAACAATTGTTTACAGACAGATTATTTCACTTATAATTCACTGTATCACAATTCCAGTGGGTCAGAAGTTTACATACACTAAGTTGACTGTGCCTTTAAACATCTTGGAAAATTCCAGAAAATGATGTCATGGCTTTAGAAGCTTCCGATAGGCTAATTGACATAATTTGAGTCAATTGGAGGTGTACCTGTGGATGTATTTCAAGGCCTACCTTCAAACTCAGTGCCTCTTTGCTTGACATCATGGGAAAATCAAAAGAAATCAGCCAAGACCTCAGGAAAAAATTGTAGACCTCCACAAGTCTGGTTCATCCTTGGGAGCAATTTCCAAACACCTGAAAGTACCACATTCATATGTACAAACAATAGTACGCAAGTATAAACACCATGGGACCACGCAGCCATCATACCGCTCAGGAAGGAGATGCGTTCTGTCTCCTAGAGATGAACGTACCTTGTTGCGAAAAGTGCAAATCAATCCCAGAATAACAGCAAAGGACCTTGTGAAGATGCTGGAGGAAACAGGTACAAAAGTATCTATATCCACAGTAAAACGAGTCCTATATCGACATAACCTGAAAGGCTGCTCAGCAAGGAAGAAGCCACTGCTCCAAAACCGCCATAAAAAAGCCAGACTACGGTTTACAACTGCACATGGGGACAAAGATCGTACTTTTTGGAGAAATGTCCTCAGGTCTGATGAAACAAAAATAGAACTGTTTGGCCATAATGACCATCGTTATGTTTGGAGGAAAAAGGGGGGGCTTGCAAGCCGAAGAACACCATCCCAACCGTGAAGCACGGGGGTGGCAGCATCATGCTGTGGGGGTGCATTGCTGCAGGAGGGACTGGTGCACTTCACAAAATAGATGGCATCATGAGGAAGGAAAATTATATGGATATATTGAAGCAACATCTCAAGACATCAGTCAGGAAGTTAAAGCTTGGTCACAAATGGGTCTTCCAAATGGACAATGATCCCAAGCATACTTCCAAAGTTGTGGCAAAATGGCTTAAGGACAACAAAGTCAAGGTATTGGAGTGGCCTTCACAAAGCCCTGACCTCAATCCTATAGAAAATGTGTGGGCGAGCAAGGAGGCCTACAAACCTGACTCAGTTACACCAGCTCTGTCAGGAGGAATGGGCCAAAATTCATCCAACTTATTGTGGGAAGCTTGTGGAAGGCTCCCCGAAACATTTGACCCAAGTTAATTTTTACTAGGATTAAATGTCAGGTATTGTGAAAAACTGAGTTTAAATGTATTTGGCTAAGGTGTATGTAAACTTCTGACTTCAACTGTATTTAATCATTTTATCATTAATAAACATTATTTAAAAAAACCTGCCAAAATCCGGTGTTTCTATGTCAAACGGTTTTGTTATATTTCAGTCTTCCGTGATGTATAGAATGTGTAATATTGGGATGCAAACTCAAAATTGAATACATTTCAACTGTATATCTGACATGGTACAGGCGCCTTCTTTTTTTAAGCCCATAACCATGTGTGTGAGGTGTATACTTTTGTTTCAAAGTAGATTTGTTTAAGACTATCAAGAAACACTCTGTGTGACCCTGATTTAACCCACTGCAGTAAAAGGTTTTAAGATGGCGTGTCGCCTTGTTAACGTCCAAAAGCGGAAGTCGTGTCACAGGCTCTCTTTCCATTTCCCCTGAAAACCAGAACATCCGGTCGTTGGGGACTCGGCAGAGGCTAGCCACAACCTAACCAACGTCCTGGGAACTTTCACAGAACCAATTTTGTGTTAGAACATCATCTTTCATTCAAATCTAAATGGCTTGCTCTATACAGAAAAATAATATACAATAGAGATGTACAATATCTGTCTCTGTTGGGATTCTGAAATAACAGTGCAACGCATTATGTAATGAAGATCAAATCCAAGAGTATAACTTATATTTTAATTGGTTTAGTTTATAACAATCACAATAGGGTCTGAGCAAATTAGAACAGCATATAGATGATCTCATGCAGGCTAGCTGAGTGCTGCTAACTCAGCTGAAGTCACATCCCAATGTTGTCTTTAGGGGTGAGGGGGCTCCATACACATGCACACACTGGGCTGGGAGAGAGAGTGGTCAAACTCTCCCCCTGTATCGGCCCCTTTTCTCTCACCTTTACTGCCTGCGCTATGCTCGTCCCCATCCACCTTGGCTGCTTTGTAGTATGTGATGCCCCTTACTACCCCCGGCTGGTGCCCTACCACCTTGGCCTTGGCTGTGGGGTCAGGCTTGATGGGCTTCCCAGGTTTGGTGCTCTCTTTCTTGGGTTTTACAACCTTTTCCTTGGGCGGCTTGGGAGGGGGCTTGGATGCAGGGGGCTTTTTGTTCGTTTTTTTTACGGCCTCCTTGGTTTTCTCATCATTGTTGTCCTGTAAACATTGACATTCAAGCCTGTGATTTACGATGCGTCTGTGGGCATGTGAACGTTGATTTGTGTGTGTGTTTGATGTGTAATTTGTGAGCAAGCTTTTGTGTAGACCTATGCGTGTGTGCGTGTGCACGTGTGTAGGTATGTGTGTGTGTGTGTGTTTGAGACACACTTACCTGAGCTTTGGTCTCTGTTTGGTCTTTCTGCAGTAGCTGCAGCCCCAGGCTGGAGATCTCCTTCTTGATGCTCATCATGATGTTGGAGTAGTTCTCATACCTCTTAAACTGGTTTGTCAGAGTGATCATGCTGTCCCTTACAAACTCATTGTCCCGAGTCAGGTTGGTCTTGATTGTCTGGAGAATCAGATGTGTTCTAAGAATCAGACCAGTCCATTGTACGACCCATGTGCAAGTAACTCTAACCAAAAAGGAACCCTTTCGTAAATAGATTATAAAAACGTTACTTTGTGTGACTGGTACTCTGGCGGAACCAGTCACACAAATCTCTCTCCCCATTCTAGTACATATTTCCCTGTTAGAGAAGTGAATAACTGTGGGGTTAAAGAAACCTCTGTGGATACTGTAACCATGCAGTTTGGGGGGGGGGGGGGGGGGGGGGGGGGGATTACTAGTATCCAATCACAAACCATTTAATCAGCTCTCTGTCTCCATAAAGGACCGTAGACAGCTTTAACAGCTTAGAACCCTTGGAAAGATCCCAAATACACTCAAATACAGTATATAGGAAGGCATGCAAACCTAGCGTACCCTGGTTTTTGTTTTATGTCCTTGTTATTGTGGCACTTGTTCCACTATACTAGAACGTTGGTTTTCTGTGCTTACCTCCTCTAGTGTGTTCATCTGGGAGACCACCTTATTGATGTAGGAGTGGACCTTCATGAGGTCCAGACTGTACAGCGTGCCCTCCAGTAGGTCCACCATGGAATGGAGCTGTACACCCACACACACAGGACAGAGGAGAGTATTAACACGAAACAACAACCAGGCTTAATCTATGGCTAAGTCTAAATCCACTGAGGATGGCCTGGGGCCGAAACATTTGTGTTTTGTTTTCACCTTTCCTTTATAATTTGTTGGGCACAATGATGTTCTAATAAACATCTTTATTTTGCATTCAAGCCTCAGTTTTGGATGTATCTTTTTTTTTAGACAGTGTGCGGGTCTCCATCTCTTCCAGTATTCTTATTTTGACTCCGATGCACCTGGAACAGACACTATTCAGCAGTAAGGACCTTAAAAAAATGCATACTTTATAATTTAAGGTTAAACCCAGTCATATCATACATCTGGTTCTCGTTGTTCTGTTCATATGGTGCATAGCGTGCCTCCTCTCCTCTCACTGCCAGTGAAAAATGAATGTGTGCTTCAGATATGTACATCCTCAGAGGTGCTGAGATGTTATTAACAGATGGATATCAGATAGACAATCCAGTGAGGTCATAGTGAACTGTCTGTGTAACAACCTGGGATACTTTGAAGCTTTCATTTGAACAATTATAGGGATATCCTGTTTCTGCTTCTCCCATGGTTAGGACCAAACCATACACATGTAATCAGGGTCTCTGTCACTGTCTTTACACAGTCAATTACCAGATCTTACTACCAACATTTACAGTTAAAAGGTTATTGTGCCACCAAGTTACAGTTAGTGTCTGTTACTGCTGCACCTCCATTCACCTTGAGCAGCTCTGGGGCCTGTTTCTTCAGCTTCTCCATCTTCCACTCGTTCTCGCACGGGTTGAGGGAGGAGGGAGGGGCTGTGCAGGAACACTTGCAGTCCGATCCAGAGCTGACAGTCTCCACCGTGTAGAAGTCCTCCACGCGTGCTCTGCCGCTCCTCAGATGCTGGCACGCATCCTTGCTCAGTGGCCTCATGATGCACTTACATCGACAGTCTGAGCCCTCCGACGTCATCCGCACCGGCTCCGTCTCCCCAAAGATCTGACAAGAGAGATAGAGTTGAAGAGAAGGGGTGAAATGAACTGATTACACTGGTTTTAAATGGAGAGGTGTAGGAGTGGTTGACTAAAGTATTCCTGACATGCATGAACTGGACATGGTTCCTGTCCCTCAGCTACAGGAGGCAATCACAGTCTGGAATGATGTCACAACGTGGGGTTGAATGTGAGAGGGCCAGTCAGGAGGCTGAGCAGCTTTCACATTCAAACAGAGACATTCTGAGAAAGCAACTCTATCTGACCCATAGTGATACAGTATATGGTCAGGATTTAACTTTATATCCATGAACATTATGATTCATAAATACAGTGGCTTGCGAAAGTATTCACCCCCCTTGGCATTTTTCCTATTTTGTTGCCTTACAACCTGGAATTAAAATAGATTTTTGGAGGGTTTGTATCATTTGATTTACACAACATGTAAATTTTTCTGTGTGAAACAAAAAAGAAATAAGACAAAAAAACAGAACATGCAGAAGCGTGCATAACTATTCACCCCCACCCCCCCCCCCCAATGTCAATACTTTATAGAGCCACCTTTTGCAGCAATTTCAGCTACAAGTCTCTTGGGGTATGTCTCTATAAGCTTGGCACATCTAGCCTCTGGGGTTTTTACCCATTCTTCAAGGCAAAACTGCTCCAGCTCCTTCAAGTTGGATGGGTTCCCCTGGTGTACAGCAATCTTTAAGTCATACCACAGATTCTCAATTGGATTGAGGTCTGGGCTTTGACTAGGCCATTCCAAGACATTTCAATGTTTCCCCTTAAACCACTTGAGTGTTGCTTTAGCAGTATGCTTAGGGTCATTGTCCGGCTGGAAGGTGAACCTCCGTCCCAGTCTCAAATCTCTGGAAGACTGAAACAGGTTTCCCTCAAGAATTTCCCTGTATTTAGCGCCATCCATCAAACCTTCAATTCTGACCAGTTTCCCAGTCCCTGCCGATGAAAAACATCCCCACAGCATGATGCTGCCACCACCATGCTTCACTGTGGGGATGGTGTTCTCGGGGTGATGAGAGGTGTTGGGTTTGCGCCAGACATAGTGCCAAAAAGCTCAATTTTAGTCTCATCTGACCAGAGTACCTTCTTCCATATGTTTGGGGAGTCTCCCACATGGCTTTTGGCGAACACCAAACGTGTTTGCTTATTTTTTTCTTTATGCAATGGATTTTTTCTGGCCACTCTTCCGTAAAGCCCAGCTCTGTGTACGGCTTAAAGTGGTCCTATGGACAGATACTCCAATCTCCGCTGTGGAGCTTTGCAGCTCCTTCAGGGATATCTTTGGTCTCGTTGTTGCCTCTCTGATTAATGCCCTCCTTGCCTGGTCCGTGAGTTTTGGTGGGCGGCCCTCTCTTGGTAGGTTTGTTGTGGTGACATATTCTTTCCATTTTTTTTATAATGGATTTAATGGTGCTCCGTGGGATGTTAAAAGTTTCTGATAATTTTTTATAACCCAACCCTGATCTGTACCTTGGTCTTCATGGTGCCACTTGCTTGGTGGTGCCCCTTGCTGAGTGGTGTTGCAGACTCTGGGGCCTTTCAGAACAGGTGTACAGTTGAAGTCAGAAGTTTACATACATTTAGGTTGGAGTCATTAAAACTCATTTTTCAACCACTGCACAAATGTCTTGTTAACAAACTATAGTTTTGGCAAGTCGGTTAGGACATCTACTTTGTGCATGACACAATTTTTCCAACAATTGTTTACAGACAGATTATTTCACTTATAATTCACTGTCTCACAATTCCAGTGGGTCAGAAGTTTACATACACTAAGTTAACTGTGCCTTTAAACAGCTTGGAAAATTCCAGAAAATGATGTCATGACTTTAGAAGCTTCTGATAGGCTAATTGACATCATTTGAGTCAATTGGAGGTGTACAGTACCTGTGGATGTAAGGATACGCGTTCTGTCTCCTAGAGATGAACGTACTTTGGTGCAAAAAGTGCAAATCAATCCCAGAACAACAGCAAAGGACCTTGTGAAGATACTGGAGGAAACATGTACAAAAGTATCTATATCCACAGTAAAATGAGTCCTATATCGACATAACCTGAAAGGCCGCTCAGCAAGGAAGAAGCCACTGCTCCAAAACCGCCATAAAAAAGCCAGACTACGGTTTACAACTGCACATGGGGACAAAGATCGTACTTTTTGGAGAAATGTCCTCTGGTCTGATGAAACCAAAATAGAACTGTTTGGCCATAATGACCATCGTTATGTTTGGAGGAAAAAGGGGGTACTTGCAAGCCGAAGAACACCATCCCAACCGTGAAGCACGGGGGTGGCAGCATCATGCTGTGGGGGTGCTTTGCTGCAGGAGGGACTGGTGCACTTCACAAAATAGATGGCATCATGAGGAAGGAAAATTATGTGGATATATTGAAGCAACATCTCAAGACATCAGTCAGGAAGTTAAAGCTTGGTCGCAAATGGGTCAAGCATACTTCCAAAGTTGTGGCAAAATGGCTTAAGGACAACAAAGTCAAGATATTGGAGTGGCCTTCACAAAGCCCTGACCTCAATCCTATAGAAAGTTTGTGGGCAGAACTGGAGGCCTACAAACCTGACTCAGTTACACCAGCTCTGTCAGGAGGAATGGGCCAAAATTCACCCAACTTATTGTGGGAAGCTTGTGGAAGGCTACCCAAAACGTTTGACCCAAGTTAAACAATTTAAAGGCAATGCTACCAAATACTAATTGAGTGTATGTAAACTTCTGACCCACTGTGAATGTGATGAAAGAAATAAAAGCTGAAATAAATAATTAGATCATGTGACAGATCATGCGACACTTAGATTGCACACAGGTGGACTTTATTTAACTAATTATGTGACTTCTGAAGGTAATTGGTTGCACCAGATCTTATTTAGGGGCTTCATAGCAAAGGGGGTGAATACATACAGTGGGGAGAACAAGTATTTGATACACTGCCGATTTTGCAGGTTTTCCTACTTACAAAGCATGCAGAGGTCTGTAATTTTTATCATAGGTACACTTCAACTGTGAGAGATGGAATCTAAAAGAAAAATCCAGAAAATCACATTGTATGATTTTTAAGTAATTAATTTGCATTTTATTGCATGACATAAGTATTTGATACATCAGAAAAGCAGAACTTAATATTTGGTACAGAAACCTTCATTTGCAATTACAGAGATCATACGTTTCCTGTAGGTCTTGACCAGGTTTGCACACACTGCAGCAGGGATTTTGGCCCACTCCTCCATACAGACCTTCTCCAGATCCTTCAGGTTTCGGGGCTGTCGCTGGGCAATACGGACTTTCAGCTCCCTCCAAAGATGTTCTATTGGGTTCAGGTCTGGAGACTGGCTAGGCCACTCCAGGACCTTGAGATGCTTCTTACAGAGCCACTCCTTAGTTAGCCTGGCTGTGTGTTTCGGGTCGTTGTCATGCTGGAAGACCCAGCCATGACCCATCTTCAATGCTCTTACTGAGGGAAGGTTGTTGGCCAAGATCTCGCGATACATAGCCCCATCCATCCTCCCCTCAATACGGTGCAGTCGTCCTGTCCCCTTTGCAGAAAAGCATCCCCAAAGAATGATGTTTCCACCACCATGCTTCACGGTTGGGATGGTGTTCTTGGGGTTGTACTCATTCTTCTTCTTCCTCCAAACACGGCGAGTGGAGTTTAGACCAAAAAGCTCTATTTTTGTCTCATCAGACCACATGACCTTCTCCCATTCCTCCTCTGAATCATCCAGATGGTCATTGGCAAACTTCAGACGGGCCTGGACATGCGCTGGCTTGAGCAGGGGGCCCTTGCGTGCGCTGCAGGATTTTAATCCATGACGGCGTAGTGTGTTACTAATGGTTTTCTTTGAGACTGTGGTCCCAGCTCTCTTCAGGTCATTGACCAGGTCCTGCCATGTAGTTCTGGGCTGATCCCTCACCTTCCTCATGATCATTGATGCCCCACAAGGTGAGATCTTGCATGGAGCCCCAGACCGAGGGTGATTGACCGTCATCTTGATCTTCTTCCATTTTCTAATAACTGCGCCAACAGTTGTTGCCTTCTCACCAAGCTGCTTGCCTATTGTCCTGTAGCCCATCCCAGCCTTGTGCAGGTCTACAATTTTATCCCTGATGTCCTTACACAGCTCTCTGGTCTTGGCCATTGTGGAGAGGTTGGAGTCTGTTTGATTGAGTGTGTGGACAGGTGTCTTTTATACAGGTAACGAGTTCAAACAGGTGCAGTTAATACAGGTAATGAGTGGAGAACAGGAGGGCTTCTTAAAGAAAAACTAACAGGTCTGTGAGAGCCGGAATTCTTACTGGTTGGTAGGTGATCAAATACTTATGTCATGCAATAAAATGCAAATTAATTACTTAAAAATCATACAATGTGATTTTCTGGATTTTTGTTTTAGATTCAGTCTCTCACAGTTGAAGTGTACCTATGATAAAAATTACAGACCTCTACATGCTTTGTAAGTAGGAAAACCTGCAAAATCGGCAGTGTATCAAATACTTGTTCTCCCCACTGTATGCACGCACCACTTTTCCGTTATTTATTTTGTATAATCTTTTTAAACAAGTTATTTTTTTCATTTCACTTCACCAATTTGGACTATTTTGTGTATGTCCATTACATGAAATCCAAATAAAAATTACAGGTTGTAATGCAACAAAATAGGAAAAACGCCAAGTGGGATGAATAATTTTGCATGGCACTGTATATATGCTGAGCTTGGTTTTTCTTCTCACAGCAGTCTAAGGAGAGTTGTTCCAATGTTCTGAATGACTCCCTCCCTGGTGGACATACTATGAATAATAAATCAATTTTCTTAGGAGAGAAACAAAAGCAGGGAAATGAAAGTGATCCTGGGACATTTACCACATGCTTCCTCTCCTTTGAAGCACATGAAAGCAATTGAGACCAATGTAATGCAATTAATACTCTTATCACCAGCTGTGTTGGACACTAGCAGTCCCCACTCACTGACATTATTCTCATAATCACTCCAGATACAGTACATAACAAAAGCCAAACATTGCATAAACAATACATTTGTTATTATAGACAATCATCAAAGTGATGTGTTTATAGGTTTCATACTAGGCCCAGTCAGACATTTGATATACCATAGATTTATTGCATATCTTATTTAACGTTCTGTTGTTGTTGGTAAGAGGTCAATGAGTGCCAAACCTTCATTCCACAGAGAGCTTAAGGTGTCACAGTAGTTCTCAAGTGTCTGTCTCTCTGCCTGTTGTCTGTCTCTCTGCCTGTTGTCTGGTTATCTCCCCATGCCTGGTCATCTCCCCATGCCTGGTCATCTCCCCATGTCTGGTCATCTCCCCATGTCTGGTCATCTCCCCATGTCTGGTCATCTCCCCATGTCTGGTCATCTACCCATGTCTGGTCATCTCCCCATGTCTGGTTATCTCCCCTAGCGCCTCATGAATGCCACTGGAGGGAATAGCGGCCGTTTTGCGGGCTCCTGACCAATTGTGCTATTTTGTGTATTTTCTTGTGATGATCGTAATTTATTTTTTTACATAATGTTTCCGCCATCGTTTCCTATGGTCGAAAAGAGCTTCTGGACATCAGAACAGCTATCACTAACCTCGATTTGGACGAGGCGAAAGACATATTGATTATCCCGGACAAGGCCCAAATCCCTGACACTTGAAGAAGGAGGAGATTGCGTTATAGAGGCCGGCATGCGGGACACCTGATGAGTCTACATCGGAGAGTGGATAAACCGCCTGTACCCTCCGTTCTATTGGCGAACGTGCAATCACTAGAGAATAAACTGCATGAGCTCCGTTCGAGACAATCCTATCAACGTGATCTAAAGAACTGTAATATCCTATGTTTCTCAGAGTCGTGGTTGAACAAGGACATGGTAAATATAAATCTAGCTGGTTTTTCTATACATCAGCAGGACAGAATGGTGGTGTCAGGGAGGCTCAGGGGAGGGGGTGTGTGTCTCTTTGATAAAAACAGCTGGTGCGCAATCTCTAATATTAAGGAAGTCTCAAGGTTCTGCTCGCCTGAGTTAGAATACCTCATGATAAGCTGTAGACCATACTATTTACCAAGAGAGTTTTCGTCTATATTTTTCGTAGCTGTCTATTTACCACTAGCACTAAGACCACACTCAATGAGCTGTATAGTGTCATAAGTAAACAAGAAAATGCTCACCCAGAGGCGGCGCTCCTAGTGGCCGGTATTTATTTATTTTAATTGTTTGTACTTTTTACCCTTTTTCTCCCCAATTTCGTGATATCCAATTAGTAGTTACAGTCTGGTCCCATCGCTGCATCTCCCGTACGGACTCGGGAGAGGCGAAGGTCGAGAACCATGCGTCCTCCGAAACACGACCCTGCCAAGCCACACTGCTTCTTGACACACTGCTCGCTTAACCCGGAAGCCAACCGCACCAATGTGTCACCGGATGACGCTGGGCCAATTGTGCACCGCCTCATCGGTCTCCCGGTCGTGGTGGCCGGTGACTTTAATGCAGGAAAACTGAAATCGGCCTTACCTCATTTCTACCAGCATGTCACCTGTGCAACTAGAGGCGAGAAAACTCTAGATCAACTTTACTTCACACACATAGACGCATACAAAGCTCTCCCTCGACCTCCATTTGGCAAATCTGACCATAACTCTATCCTCCTGATTCCTGCTTACAAGCAAAAACTTAAACAGGAAGTACCAGTGATGCGCTCAATACGGAAGTGGTCCGATGAAGAGTTACAGGACTGTTTCGCTAGCACAGACTGGAATATGTTCCAGGATTCATCCGATGGCATTGAGGAGTTTACCACATCAGTCACCATCGTCATTAATAAGTGCATCGATAACGTCGTCCCCACAGTGACCGTGGGTACATACCCCAGCCAGAAGCCATGGATTACAGAAAACATCCGCACTTAGCTAAAGGCTAGAGCTGCCGACTTTCAAGGAGCGGGACACTAATCCGGACGCTTATAAGAAATCACGCTATGTCCTCCGAAGAAACCTTCAAACAGGCAAAGCGTCAATACAGGACCAAGACTGAATCCTACTACACTGGCTCTGACGCTTGTCGGATGTGGCAGGGCTTGCAAACTATTAGGGATTACAAAGGGAAACCCAGCCGCGAGCTGTCCAGTGATGCAAGCCTACCAGACAAGCTAAATACCTTCTATGCTCGCCTCGAGGCTAGCAACACTGAATCATGCATGAGTGCACCAGCTGTTCACGATCTCCATAGCCGATGTGAGTAAGACCTTAAACAGGTTAACATTCACAAGGCCGCAGGGCCAGACGGATAACCAGGACGCGTACTCAGAGCATGCGCTGACCAGCTGGCAAGTGTCTTCACTGACATTTTCAACCTCTCCCTGACCCAGTCTGTAATACCTACATTATTCAAGCAGACCACCATAGTCGCTGTGCCCAAGAATGCCAAGATAACCTGTGTAAATGATTAGCCCCCTGCAGCACTCACATCTGTAGCCATGAAAAGCTTTGAAAGGCTGGTCATGGCTCACATCAACACCATTATCCCAGACACCCTGGACCCACTCCAATTCGCATACCGCCCCAAAGAATCCACAGATGACGCAATCTCTATTGCACTCCACACTGCCCTTTCCCACCTGGACAAAAGCAACACCTACATGAGAATAGTGTGCATTGACTACAGCTCAGCATTCAACACCATAGTGCCTGCCAAGCTCATCACTAAGCTAAAGACATTGGGAGTAAACACTTCTCTCTGCAACTGGATCCTGGACTTCCTGATAGGCAGCTTCCAGGTGGTGAGGGTAGGCAACAACACATCCGCCACGCTGACCCACAACACGGGGGCCCCTCAGGGGTGCGTGCTTAGTCCCCTCCTGTAGTCTTTGTTCACCCACGACTGAATGGCCGCGCAGAACTCCAACACCATCATTAAGCTTGCCGACGACACGATGGTGGTAGGCCTGATCACTGACGACGATGAGACGTCTACAGGGAGGAGGTCAGGGACCTGGCAGTGTGGTGCCAGGACAACAACCTCTCCCTCAACGTCAGCAAGACAAAGGAGCTGATCGTGGACTACAGGAAATGGAAGGTCGAGAGCGCCCCCTTCAACAGTAATGGGGCTGTAGTGGAGCAGATAGAGAGCTTCAAGTTCCTCGTTGTCCACATCACTAAGGAATTATCATGGTCCACACACACCAACACAGTCGTGTTTGCCATCAACACCTCAATTAGACGGGGCATGGACTCTACAATGTGTCAAAAGCGTTCCACAGGGATCCTGGCCCATATTGTCTCCAATGCTTCCCATAGTTGTGTCAAGTTGGCTGGATGTCTTTGGGTGGTGGACCATTCTTGACACACACAGGAAACTGTTGAGCATGAAAAACCGAGCAGAGTTTCAGTTCTTGACACACTCAAACCGGTGCACCTGGCACCTACTACCATACCCCGTTCAAAGACACTTAAATATTTTGTTTTGCCCATTCACCCTCTGAATGGCACACATACACAATCCATGTCTCAATTGTCTCAAATCCTTCTTTAATCTGTCTCCTCCCCTTCATCTACACTGATTGCAGTGGACATAACAGGTGACATCAATAAGGGATCATAGCTTTCACCTGGATTCACCTGCTCATTCTATGTCATGGAAAGAGCAGGTGTTTTGGACAGCCAAGTTATCATTACTCATTGTGTATTTATTTCTCAAGTTATTATTTTTCTATTATTTAACTTTTTTTTCTCTCTGCATTGTTGTGAAGGGCCTATAAGTAAGCATTTCACTGTGACAAATAAACTTTGATTTGATTTGATGTAGAGGGCCAGGGGGTCGCTAAACTCTACTGATGCTAAGCTCGTCTTCCAGTACCTTCTGGGGCCCAGCTCCCTCTCAGACCCTCTGTCCAGGGTTAACCTGTCATCTTCCTCCAATGAGATTTAGGGATCTCTATAAACCCTGAGGCAGGCCCACATGTGGTACCACTTAGGGGAGAGTGGGGTAAGTTCAACCATTTTTTACATTCAACATCACTCCGTCAAGGGAAATATAGCATTATTTCTGACAAAGATATCTACATACAGTGCCGTGAAAAAAGTATTTGCCCCCTTTCTGATTTTCTCTACTTTTGCATATTTTTTTACAACTCATGTTATCAGATCTTCAACCAAAACCTAATATTAGATAAAGGGAACCTGCGTTTACAAATAACAAAACAATTTATACTTATTTAATTAACAAAGTTATGCAACACTCAATTCCCCTGTGTGAAAAAGTAATTGCCCCCTTGCACTCAATAACTGGTTGTGCCACCTTTAGCTGCAATGACTGCAACTAAATGCTTCCTGTAGTTGTTAATCAATCTCTCACTTGGCCCACACTTGCATGCAGAACTGCTTTAACTCAGCAACATTTGTGGGTTTTCAAGCATGAACTGCTCGTTTCAAGTCCTGCCACAATATCTCAATTGGGATTAGGTCTGGACTTCGACTAGGCCATTCCAAAACTTCAAATATATTTCAGCATGGTGTGTATCCCTAACAATAATCTGAATTCATGAAAACATGACAGTTTTGAAAACATAGCTTGTCCAAATAAAGTGGTCTCTTGGCACAACTTACCCCGGGTATGGGGTAAATTGAGCCACTGTACAGGATCAAATAAGCCGCCTACAAATTTCTGTACTGAATGAAGTATTACCAATAGCTTTTTAAAACCATGTCTATCTTTATTTCCCAAACACAATTCAACACAAGCGTAAACACTTTTTTGTATTTTAATAATTTTAAGCATATTTTAACAACTAAACACACTTTGTACTTTTTTTTAAACACTTTTAACATAGGCAAGGTCATGTTGTTGCCTCATATCCCAGGGATAATGCCTTGCATTAAGCCTGAGAAGAAAACACTTCAATTTGCTCAACTTCCCATTGGCGCAACCATTGGCTCAATTTACCCCAAGGAAAACATTTTGATTATATTAGCCCACACAGCTACAAGGATGCACTTTCATGCTAGGTTTAGGACCTCATATTGAAGCTTATAGAGAAACCCAAATGATGTATAGAACAATCTTAAAAGTATCCACTTTGGTTAAGATACAAGCATCATGAAACATCTAACACAATAAATTCATTTGACTTGGTGAAAATCTGTATTTTGGACCTAACTTGCTTACCACTTTTTCCATGTGCTTTCTTCCTTCACAGACTCCATGAAATGATGACCTCTTCCTAAATATTTGGTCAAATTATTAATTTAGTGTATGGTTTCCTAGAAAAAAGGGTGACTCATCGTACCCCTTTGGCTCAATTTACCCCAATCTCCCTTACAGCAGCACAAGAATGCAGCATGAGATTCTTCATTAAATAATTATCTCTGTCTGTCTCTGTCCTATCTCTTTGAAATGAAATGTGTCTCTGTCTGTCCATCTATCTGAGCCCTTACTCTGCCACATTGTATCAAGACAGGATAAACATCTCAACTGTGCACTCAATCAAGGTATTTCTGGGAGAATCGTCAGTCCTGTCCTTCACCAAATCCACACTGGGCACGTACACTGTAGATCTGGGCAAATATATATGGAGAGAAAGTCTTCTTGCCAATGTCAGTAAAGAGTAAACCCAAGTTTAGAGCATCAACACAACTGTGCACAAATATCCAGTGACTGAGTGGTCTCTGGAGGTGAAGATGTTTATGGAGGCCAGACCCTGCAGGCTGGTGAGGGGAGGGAGAGGAGGGAGGGGGTGGGTGGGCTCATTAGTTGAGGAATGCAGCCTGAGTGACAGGAGTGGGGGGCAGTACCCTCTATTACTGTAGACTTACACTAAGAGGGGTCTTTGATTATGGGGCAGGACCCCTGTGTGCATAGTGGCCGGCCATTCCTGACCCATGTCAAGTGAAAAAGGCAGTGGGTTGACAAATGCTACAACCACATGAAAACAGAGTGGATTAGCAGATTAAAGTTCCCTTGGAGGGGTTGTGCCCACAGCCCTGCTGCGCCTTATTGTTCCACCACAGAACCAGGCGAACCCAGCCTGCTCCTTAGCAACATCAGCTTAAGATGCTTTTAGTACCAACTAAGTATGGCAAACCTAGTGGAATTCTTGCCAGCTTGATCGGGTTTGGTTGCCTCCTCGTCACCTGTATTTGTGATAGTGTGCATTTGTGTATTGATAAACAGGGAAGAGTTAGAACACACCATTCATTTGCAGCCTCGTCCCTATCAACCATCTTTACTGTACACAGACTGGAGCAAGTTGGACGTCAGCTGTCCTAATTATAAAGAAAGCTAAATGATATTGGCTATGAGAACCGTTATTGTCCTCGCTCTGTTCATTTAGCATCCCATGCCAAGTGAACTTCCAGTATGAGAGCAGACAACAGACCTCAGAGCGTTCGTAATTAAGACTGTTAAGAGCTTAACGCATGCTTTGAGTTTGGAGCCGTAGGCTTTGACCTCTGAGAGCGGTCAGGTTTCAGGTCAAAAGAATAGGACCCAAACACAAACTTTGGTCTGCACAATAGGTGGAAGGGACCCAACTGCACAGTTTCACATTCACACACTCCACAGACCACAGTACATGATTAGATCACTCACTCACTGAAGGCAGCACCCACTCTTACAGTGACTAAGTGAAATCCCAATTGTGTCCACAACTGCTAAAAACAAGATTCCTTGCACACAATGGCTGGCATATTCCAGGTGCTTGTTATGATTATCTTTAAACACAGAAAACCAATGTTATTCTATGATGGCCTTAAGTGTTACTGAAACACTAACCTTGGTCCATATAAACAAGGATGTCCGTTTCAGACCGTAGGTTTTGTATAATTGTTCAGGCCATCTGCATGCTGTTACTAGGCCTATGGCATGTGGACTTAACAATGGCACTGTAGCTTTCACAAACGAGATAATTAATGTAGGATACTTTCCAGAAACGTTTATTAATATAAATAGATCAAGAACAGACCCTGTTCCAGGTGTTGTCCACTTCAAAGACAATCAACTCAGTAAGCTGTTTCTGAGGTAAACTGGTAGATAAAAACTACTTAGTATGACTATTACAGTGATGGGAATGAATCCACACAGTATTCACGCTTGGAAAGGGATTTTCTGATGAATAAATCAAAGCAATAATATTTCAGGGTAGAACATTTTTAAAGAGAAAGCTCATCTCAGAATCATCATCTAATAAATTGGAATTCGATGGCCCTAATCCATAAATCTGGGTTTACACAACAGATACTGGAATATTGACTCAGCTTGACTTTAAGATAACTTTTGACCTATGAAGATACCTGAACTATTCATTTAAATTCCCTGATGTCTCACCTTGCTCTCCAGTCTAAACATTACAGACAAATCTGGAGTCTAAATTCTTGTCCAGAAAGTCCACCTGATTCCTAATCTAATTAGTATTGCTTATGATAAACAGTCTTACTGCCACTGTAAATCTGAACCTGGACTGCAAAAGGAAACTTAAGCCTTCAGCCTGGAGATGAACCATGAGATTGCAGTCCCTAACCTGAACAGAAACGGGCATTAGCACTGGGACGTTAATTAGCTGGACACAAGCTTACTGAGCACTTGCTGCTTTTGGGGGTACACATCCACATTCCATCTAGGGCTTGCTGCGTGTACACAGGCAGCCCATTTCTGATCTTTTGCCACTAATTGGTCTTTTGACCAATCAGATCAGATCTTTTGCCAATAATTGGCTGTGTAAACGTAGCCATAATGTGTCCGACCGAGCACACTCAGAACCTTTTGGTTAACCTCAGTGGCTACTACTGATTGATCCTAATGAGAGAAGAGTGAGGTAGAGAGAAAGAGTGGTGGATAAAAAAGGCGATGTAAGAGAGAGAGAATCAGCTAATCTGTGTAACAGTTAAGATGATTTATCTGTAAACAGTTATCTCTTAATTATCAGCGCATGTCTGGAACCTCAGTCATGAATGGAATTAGCTGGTTGCCATTGCTTTCCTCCCCAGATGCTGTTGTTTTGGGAGCCAGATGTTTGAAAGGGCCCACTGGATAGATTGATGGAACGGATAGATTGCTCTTAGGGAAAAACATAGATCAGTGTCTAGTATTCCACATGATTGTACAATTGTATCAAACCTTTACCTTGACTTTTTTTCCCACCATAAAACACAGTGAAGGACCATGGACGTGATAGATGCTGCTTGTGAGAAAATGCCAGCTGAAGGAGACCCACTGGGCACAGGCGTCAATTCAATGTCTATTCCTTGAAATGACATGGAAACAACATTGATTCAACAAGTGTGTGCCCAGTGGGGATATCCTTTCTCTCCTGTGTGGAACTAACAGGAAGACCCAGCTTGCTCCTCATTAGGCACAAACTCACATCATAGCAGTCAGGCACATAGGCTGCGTTTACACAGGCAGCCTAATTATGATCCCCCCCCCCCCACTAATTGGTCTTTTGACCAATCACATCAGATCTATTCACATCAGATCTTTTTCAGAGCTGATCTGATTGGTCAAAAGATCAGAATTGGGCTGCCTGTGTAAACACAGCCAAGGAGACATACAGTTAATGCAGACTGTGAAAACAGGTGGAAGGCAGATGGTGCAGAGAATGGGTGAAACATACTTCCCTTTGGCCATGTGGTCCTCTGGCAGCCATGTTCTGTATGGAGCATCCTTAAATGAAGGGTTCAGACAAATAGGGCTTGTAATTACAATTTCAGCTCTCTTTGTGTTAGTTTTCTCCTACATTACATCGCTCAGAGGGAAAGGGAGATTGCTTTTTGTTTGCTGTTGTGGTCTGTGTCACTTTCTCCTTCATTTCCTGCTGCTCAGAATGAGAGCCCTCTCCCAGCTGCACTGAGGCCTGGGGCCACTGAGTCCCCCAGACAGACAGACTGACACATCGAGTCTCATGAACTCATTAAGTCCCAGTGACACACCAGGTCTCGTTAGTTAATTACTCTGACAGAGGGGCGTTCTGTGGTTCTCCTCCCTACGTCTCTGTGTCCGTCTCTCTCTCCGCCCTCTCAAGGACCTCTCGGCGATATTCCTGGGTTTGTTTACAACCAAAACAAGGGGCAGGTGCACACGCCTGTTCCCACACCATCACGCCCTCTGTGTCCTCCTCTGAGCTGGCTTTGTCTCACAATCATCTCAGTGCCTCCAGTGGGCCATGACACTGTAGGCTTGGCAGGACATGTCCAATGGGACGGGCAGGGGACAGAGGGCATCCAGGCAGCACATAAGACAGGCACATGAGATGTCTCACAGAGAACAGAGAGAACCATAGCCATGCTAAAATCAATCACAAGTTTGTTAGTGATCCTATACTGTGCTTTTGTATTTGTATATATTTGTATTTATTAAGGATCCCCATTAGCTGCTGCCAAGGCAGCAGATACTCTTCCTGGGGTCCAGCAACATTAAGGCAGTTATATACAATTAAAAATATTACATGACATTACATTTCATAACACTTTTCACAACACATTAAGTGTGTGCCCTCAGGCCACTACTCTACTACCACATATCTACAATACAAAATCCATGTGTATGTGTGTCTGTGCCTGTGTGTGTGTCTTTTCACAGTCCCCGCTGTTCCATAAGGTGTATTTTTATATTTAAAAAAAATAATAATAATCCTAATAAATAATATTGCCATTAGCAGGCAGCCTTTTATCCCAAGCGGACTTACAGTCGTGGTGCATACATTTTTGTGTATGGGTGGTCCCAGCGGATCTGAACCATTCCCTTGGCGTTACAAGCGCCGTGCTCTACCAGCTGAGCTACAGAGGACCACAATTTAAAAAAATATCAGATTCTACTGCTTGCATCAGTTACCTGATGTGGAATAGAGTTCCATGTAGCCAGGCTCTAGTAGTACTGTGCGCCCCTAGTCTGTTTTTTGACTTGGGGAGGACGTGAAGAAAACCTTGGGCATGTCTTGTGGGGTATGCTGTGTGCTAGTAGTTTAAACAGACTCCTCTGTGCATTCAGCATGCCAACACTTCTTACAAAAACAAGTAGTGATGAAGTCAATCTCTCCACTTTGAGCCATGAGAGATTGACATGCATATTAGTGGTGGGCAGCTCTCATCCATTTTTTAAATCCTTTGACAGAAGGCCTTGGCTATTGTACAGCCCACTTGAATCCTGAGTTATAAGTTGTCTAAGTTGTTGCCCTCAATACATTTGATGATCATTGTAATAATAAGGGATTATCATTGTTATGAGCAATTTTACACTCCACTGTTCTTGAGAGGACACAAATACCATGATGCGAACGCATGACACCTGTGCTCATTGTTCTAAATGTAGCACACGTCCTCTCATGCACAAAGAATAAAATCTGCTAGACAACCTTCATGTGGTTGTGTGCGTCTTGTCTTGTGCCCATGTTTTTTTCTACAGCAGGGGGAAGTAGTCATTCACTCAGAACCATGTGGGGAGCAGGGATTAGACTCTCCTCAGGGGAATGCAGTTCTATGAGAGAGGGGTTACTGAAGTCAGCATCTGTGCAAACAAGGCAGGGCAGATATAACTGTTACCCCACTGGCTGCCATCTCTTCCCACATGTCATCTGGCATCAGGCCGTACTTTTAAAAAAAAATTGTTTTATTTATTTCACCTTTATTTAACCAGGTAAACCAGTTGAGAACAAGTTCTCATTTACAACTGCGACCTGGCCAAGATAAAGCACAGCAGTGCGATAAAAACAACAACACAGAGTTACATATGGGGTAAACAAAACATAAAGTCAAAAATACAACAGAAAATATATATACAGTGTGTGCGAATGTAGTAAGTTATGGAGGTAAGGCAATAAATAGGCCATAGTGCAAAATAGTTAAAATTTCGTATTAACACTGGAATGATAGATGTGCAAAAGATGATTGCAAATAGAGATACTGGGGTGCAAATTAGCAAAATAAATAACAATATGGGGATGAGGTAGTTGGGTGGGCTAATTTCAGAATGGCTGTGTACAGGTGCAGTGATCGGTAAGCTGCTCTGACAACTGACGCTTAAAGTTAGTGAGGGAGATAAGAGTCTCCAGCTTCAGAGATTTTTGCAGTTCGTTCCAGTCATTGGCAGCAGAGAACTGGAAGGAATGGCGGCCAAAGGAGGTGTTGGCTTTGGGGATGACCAGTGAGATATACCTGCTGGAACGCATACTACGGGTGGGTGTTGCTATGGTGACCAGTGAGTTAAGATAAGACTGGGATTTGCCTAGCAGTGATTTATAGATGACCTGGAGCCAGTTTTATGAGAGCATGTTTGGCAGCATGAGTGAAGGAGGCTTTGTTGCGAAATAGGAAGCCGATTCTAGATCTAACTTTTGATTGGAGAAGCTTAATGTGAATCTGGAAGGAGAGTTTACAGTTTAACCAGACACCTAGGTATTTGTAGTTGTCCACATACTCTAGGTCAGACCCGCCGAGAGTAGTGATTCTAGTCTGGTGGGCGGGTGCAAGCAGCGTTCGGTTGAAGAGCATGCATTTAGTTTTAGTAGTGTTTAAGAGCAGTTGGAGGCTACGGAAGGAGTGTTGTATGGCGTTGAAGCTCGTTTGGAGGTTTGTTAACAGTGTCCAATGAAGGGCCAGATGTATACAAAACGGTGTCGTCCGCATAGAGCTGGATCCGAGCGTCACCAGCAGCAAGAGCGACATCATTGATATACACAGAGAATAAAGTCGGCCCGAGAATTGAACCCTGTGGCACCCCCATAGAGGTCGCCAGGTAGCCTAGTGGTCAGACTCGCAGGGGTATTCAACTCTTTCCCTACGAGGTCAGGAGCCTGCTGGTTTTCTGTTCTATCTGATAATTCACTGCACTCACCTGGTGTTCCAGGTCTAAATCAGTCCCTGTTTAGAAGGGAACAATGAAAAAATGCAGTGGAACTGGCTTCTAGGTCCAGAGTCGAATTTGAGGGGGTTAGAGCATTGGGCCAGTAACCGAAAGGTTGCTAGTTTGAATCCCTGAGCCAACTAGGTGAAAAATATGTCGCTCTGCCCTTGAGCAAGAAACTTAACCTTAATTGCTCCAGGGTTGCCTCAATAATGGCTGATCCCTGTCTGTTACCCCAGTCTCCGAGACAACCTTGGGGAGTTGGATACTTAATGGGGAAACCTAATGTAATGGTTACTTAGTCTGATGTGTAATAAGGTGATTCAAAGCCTATACTTATAAACCAAGAAGGCTGATGTCATGTTCAGTAAGGACATCTATTCGGACTGGGCATTCTAATTTGGAAATCAAATGGACTATTGGAATAGCATAATATGTACTGTTTGTTATGCAAACTGCTCCCCACTTTCAACAACCTCGTGTCACAAGAGCATCGATCGCGTCTTCGCGCACGTGAACGAATTAACTAGGCTATTTTGCGCAAATTGTGCAATCATTTTGTTGAAATACTTTGACTTTAAAGTGGGATAATATGTTTTTTTTAAGAGTGCATAAAACATTGATGTTCAGATATTAAGATAACAATAATACATGTACTGTAGAAGAGCTGCAGGACAGGGATGAAACATTCGTATTAACATTTTATCACAAGGAATCAGATCCATTAAACATGGGGGAGTTCCTTACTTACTTGTGCCATTGCAGCATTATACAGGTGTTATTAGTCTATAACCAAGTCATACCAAACTCATGCCCATAACTTACCTTACTCTGCGCAGTGACATCTTTACACACCACCAGTAGGCAAGGCTAATAAATTCGTAAATCTCCACATTTTTCTCCTAGGTGCTTGATAATAGATAAATAATCCCTCAGCACAACTGTTGATGTCGAATGACAAGAAGATCGGTTACAGTATTACTAAATCCATAAAGTAGGACATCCGCACGAGATATTAGGGCTCCATTGCCACAGACCCACGTCGAATATGTTGTTGCTGTAATATGCGCAACAATCCGTTTTCAAAACTGATAAGGCGCTGTCCACACACTAGTCCTCAACTCTGCACATCAACGGTAAATCATCATCCACCAATCTTATCTTCTCCACACATGGGAGGGGCAATTTGCACACACACTTGACATGAACTTGAACATTATATTTATTGTCGAATCTTATCTTTAGAGTCATTTCAGATGTATTTCATGATAGTTTAATAGTTTTCTAATATTCAATAACACTTTTTTCAACCTTTATTGCGACAAATCTGACAATTAGCATTTACGTATGGTGCACAGGGATATGAATTACACGTAAAAGCTGCACTTTTTCTATACCATTTTAGCATTCAATTTCATAAGTTAGTGGCACATATCAAATGTATGCTCAAGTTTCAGACTTGTCACACTGCTGCTAGCAACTCGCCCTACTGCTGCCAGACGGCACTATAGCGCCATCTGGCGGCAGTAGGGCTAGCTCGCAACAAGATCAGGTGAGACAGGACACAGATGCAGTGGAATGTAAAAGAGTAGCAGCACCATCTCCTGGCTATCTGTAAAACATACAGTCACTGTATTCTTTGAGGTCTTCTTGTACAAGAGGGTTCGACTCAATAAAACCCCCATTGCATAAATTACGCAGTAGAAGGTTAGATCTTGTCTCTGTGATCAAATAAAATCACAGCATGGTTTGGGGTAAAAAAGGTTACTATAAACCTACTAGTCCTACATAGACTCCCTAGTAGAGGTCTTCACGGGTCCACCCGAACCCGAATACCTGAGAGCCGACATTGGGCCCAGAGAGGGTCCGGGTCCAAAATTCTAACTTGTGCCTCGGGTCCAGGTCGGGTTCTGTTTGAATGTCAATGATCTCGGGTCTATCTAACTACAGCTGATAGACCTGAGTGGACCCGAATGGACCCGACCATGGCTCTGCATAGCCTATAGAATATTCATTTTACGCTAATTAAGGTAAATTTATTGACGTATAGAAGGCCTAGCCAACATATAAATACCTATTCTTAACCAGAAGAGCAACTTGACTGATAAACATATATTTTTTTGTCAGTCTGGTCCAATCGGACCTGTTAGGTTACGGGTCGGGTCTAGGTCCAGTTGTTCTCGGGTCCATTCAGGTTTGGGTCGGGTCTAGGTCCGACTGTCCTCGGTTCCAGTCGGGATTGGGTCCGATTGTTCTCAGGTCTGTTCGGGTGCGGGTCCCCATAAAAAAAACTCTGGGGGACTCCCGAGTGGCGCAGCGATCTAAGGCACTGCATTGCAGTGCTAGAGGCGTCACTACAGACCCGGGTTAGATCCCTGGCTGTATCACAACCGGCGGTGATCGGGAGTCCCATAGGGCGGCGCACAATTGGCCCAGCGTCGTCCAGGTTAGGGGATGGTTTGGACGGGGGGGGGGCTTTACGCACTAGCAACTTCTTGTGGCGGGCTGGGCGCCTGCAGGCTGACCTCGGTCATCAGTTGAACAGTGTTTCCTCCGACACATTGGTGCGGCTGGCTTCTGGGTTAAGCGGGCGGGTGTTAAGAAGCGTGGTTTTGCGGGTCATGTTTCGGATGACTCGACCTTCGCCTCCCAAGCCTGTTGGGGAGTTGCAGCAATGAGACAAGATTGAAATTGGGAAGAAAAAAATACAAAAAAATGAAAAAAACAACTCCGGGTCCAATCGGGTCTGGGTCTGATCGTCTTCAGGTCCGTTCCGATCCGTGTCCAAAAAGTTGGAGAAGACCTCTACTCCCTAGGTAGCTTATACATATCTACAGTGCCTTCAGAAAGTATTCAACATTTTGTTGTGATACAGAATGAATTTAAAATTACATTTAGATTTTGTGTCACTAATCTACACACAATATCCCATAATGTCAAAGTGTAATTTTGTTTTTAGACATTTTTACAAATTAATTAAAAATGAAAAGCTGAAAAGTTGTGAGTCAATAAGTATTCAACCCCTTTGTTATGGCAAGCCTAAATAAGTTCAGGAATACACATTTGCTTAACAAATCACATAATACGTTGCATGGACTCACTCTATGTGCAATACTTGTGGTTAACATGATTTTTTAATGACTGCCCCATCTCTGTACCCCACACATACAGTACAATTATCTGTAAGGTCCCTCAGTCAGGTAGTGAACTTCAAGCACATATTCAAGCACAAAGACCAAGGAGGTTTTCCAATGCCTTGCAAATACTGGCACCGATTGTTAGATAGATAAAAATGATTGATTAGGCTTTGGATGGTGTATCAATACACCCAGTCACTGCAAAGATACAGGTGTCCTTCCTAACTCAGTTGCTGGAGAGGAAGGAAACTGCTCATTGATTTCACCATGAGGCCAATTGTAATTTTAAAACAGTTACAGAGTTTAATGGCTGTGATAGCAGAAAACTTAGGATGGATCAACAACACTGTAGTTATTCCACAACACTAACCTAAATAACAGAGTGAAAAGAAGAAAGCCTGTACAGAATACAAACATTCCAAAATATGCATCCTGTTTGCAACAAGGCAATAAAGTAATACTGCAAAGAATGTGGCAAAGAAATTAACTTTTTCTCCTGAATACAAAGCATTATGTTTGGGGCAAATCCAACACATCCCATCACTGAGTACCACTCTTCATATTTTCAAGCATGGTGATGGCTGCATCATGTTATGGTTATGCTTGTCATCAGCAAGGACTAGGGATTTTTGTATTTTATTTAAAAAAATTGAATAGGGCTATGCAACGGCAAAATCCTAGAGAGAAACCTGGTTGAGTCTGCTTTCCAAAAGACACTGGAAGACAAATTCACCTTTCAGCAGGACAATAACCTAAAACACTATCTACACTGGAGTTGCTTAACAAGACAACATTGAATGGGGCCTAGTTACAGTTTTGACTTAAATTGGTTTGAAAATCTATGGCAAGACTTGAAAATGGCTGTCTGAAAATTATCAACAACCAACTTGACAGTGGATTGAAGAATTCTTTAAAAGAATGACTGGCAAATATTGTACAATCCAGGTGTGCAAAGCTCCTAGAGACTTACCCAAAAAGACTCACAGCTGTAATTGCTGCCAAATGTGTTTCTAACATGTATTGATTCAGGGGGTTGAATACTTATCTAATCAAGATATAGGCTCTATTAGTGTTTTATTTTTCATAAATGTGTGAAAAATGTTAGAATTTTTCTTCAATTTTGACATTACAGAGTATTTCATGTAGATCGTTGACACAAATGTATTAAATCAATTTTAATCCCACTTTGTAAACGCAACAAAATGTGGAAAAAGTCAATAGGGTTGAATACTTTCGAAAGGCACTGACTGTATACAGTAGACAGTTTTAAGTTTCCATTAGTAAGGATTAGAGTTCGATGACAATGCACAAACCATTTACAGTGCCTTGCAAAAGTATTCATCCCCCTTGGCATTTTTCCTATTTTGTTGCATTACAACCTGTAATTTAAATTGATTTTTATTTGGATTTCATGTAATGGACATACACAAAACAGTCCAAATTGGTGAAGTGAAATGAAAAAAAAACTTGTTTCAAAAAATTCGAAACAATAAACTACGGAAAAGTGGTGTGTGCATATGTATTCACCCCCTTTGCTATGAAGCCCCTAAATAAGATCTGGTGCAACCAATTACCTTCAGAAGTCACATAATTAGTTAAATAAAGTCCACCTGTGTGCAATCTAAGTGTCACATGATCTGTCACATGATCTCAGTATATATACACCTGTTCTGAAAGGCCCCAGAGTCTGCAACACCACTAAGCAAGGGGCACCACCAAGCAAGCGGGACCATGAAGACCAAGGAGCTCTCCAAACAGGTCAGGGACAAAGTTGTGGAGAAGTACAGATCAGGGTTGGGTTATAAAAAAATATCTGAATCTTTGAATATCCCACAGAGCACCATTAAATCCATTATTTAAAAAATGGAAAGAATATGGCACCACAACAAACCTGCCAAGAGAGAGCTGCCCACCAAAACTCACAGACCAGGCAAGGAGGGCATTAATCAGAGAGGCAACAAAGAGACCAAAGATAACCCTGAAGGAGCTGCAAAGCTCCACAGCGGAGATTGGAGTATCTGTCCATAGGACCACTTTAAGCCATACACTCCACAGAGCTGGGCTTTACGGGAAGAGTGGCCAGAAAAAAGCCATTGCTTAAAGTAAAAAATAAGCAAACACGTTTGGTGTTCGCCAAAAGCCATGTGGGAGACTCCCCAAACATATGGAAGAAGGTACTCTGGTCAGATGAGACTCAAATTGAGCTTTTTGGCCAGGGAATAGTTATGCAAGCTTAAGTTCTCTGTTTTTATGTCATATTTCCTGTTTGTTTCACAATAAAAAATATTTTGCATCTTCAAAGTGGTAGGCATGTTGTGTAAATCAAATGATACAAACCCCCCCAAAAATCAATTTTAATTCCAGGTTGTAAGGCAACAAAATAGGAAAAATGCCAAGGGGGGTGAATACTTTCGCAAGCCACTGTATGCTACGAAGCTTATTTAACAATGGTTTGTTTTGGCCAAATAAACTAAATGGATATCAGAAATATAATGGTGATAGACAAGTGACAACAACATTTAGCATACTTTCCCTCCAGAATCACTCTTCAATGGTCAATCACTGTTGGATTATTATGGGCATTATTTTTCACATACCTTGAATACCATTTTCGATTATCCAAATCAACTTTGTATAACACTTAACAACAATACTTTACCGTTTTAAACTGTTGCATTAATCTGATGGCCAACTAATTGCCAACTCAG